TCAACTGTAATTCATCCGGCTTGAAGGACCAAATTATGTTTCGACGATATGAATTTCTACAACTATTACAAAAATCGAAATGAAAACGCGGCGGCTAAATGTATTGTTTTTATTCCGCACTCTGTGACTGCTGAGCGACAACTACCTTTTTGATATGACTGATTTGAATTTTAATTAGTTAAGAATTCAAGCATGCAGTGTTTTGTTCGCACGTCCCAACAGACGGTGTTAGTGTTAATGAACAAGTGTTAGCCAGAACACCTCGTAATTTGCTTTTTCTCTCAATACTTAAGTTATTTGAATCAGCCTGTTGGATAGGATCTCGAAACTGAGTTTCAAAAAGGAGGTGAAAGTAGTCGTAACAGAATTTGAAGTATAAAAGAACACATCTGCTGAGCAAAGAAAACCACAATACTTGTTTTTAAAAAATAGATACAATAACACAAAATACAGAATCTGATACAACTAGTTTAATTTTAAATGAATAAAAGGACTGTTTGAAGAATGGTGTAAATTTTAACGGAAGTGCTCTCTTTATACACTTTCAATGGAAAAGTAACAATGAAAAAAATAGAATCCATTTTATTTCATTTAACAATAACAAAGATAAATAATTGAGGTAAAAGAGGTCTCAATGAATTAGAAATAAGTAAATGGCTGTAAATAAAAGCTTGCTGATTTCATCTGCAAGAAAAAAAGAAACCAATTCAAAGCAGATTTGAGGGTGGTACAAACTGCAACCCAACAAATTCTTGAATGAAATAGAGGTGCGAAAAAGCTCCATTCATTTTTAAATTGCGAGCTTTTCAAATTGAAAATTGAAAGGTCACATTTTTGTCACTTAAAAATCACTGAACGTTTTTATGACTTGAAACAAAAAGGCAAAAAGGGTGGATTAAAAAATCCTCAGTTCAAGTCAATTGATGTTAGCAAAGTTAGGCCTGTGAGCCATGTGTCAAATCCCACCAAAGGGAAATGCTTGTGGTGTTTAGACATGGAAATGAAATAGCATAAAACTTTAGGTTTCTACATTTTAATTTCCCATCGCCCTTTTTTTGAGGCCAAAAATGATTGTATTTAATGAAACATTTAAAACTTTGGATTTAAACAGTTGTCTATTTCCTGTAGCAAATAAGAGATGACATCCAGTTAAACTAGTCCAGGAATCAAGCTAAGTTCTAAAAGACCAAGACTAAGTTCCAACTATGACAAATGCATCAAATGTCAAACAGTCAAGAAAAACAAAAAACTCCAAAATGGAATGGAGTCATCTGTTAAAAACTTTATAGAATGTGCCAAACAAAGGAATGATGACATTTTCAGACACAATCATTTCATGTAACCTCAAAAATAACACATTCTTAGTTGAAAATGTTAAGTGGCATAAATCTTGCTACAGCACCTACACCAGTAGTGAGAATGTTAAATACCATGCTAGCACACAACATGACTCTTTGGTATCACAACCTTCAACATCCGTTATACTATGAAGTTCAGCCATGGCTTTGAATTGGAACCTGCGTCTGGTGTGCCAGCAGGTTAAGTGTAAAGGAGAGAGGGATCTGACGCTGGTTGCTAATTTGCAAGTCTATGACACATTGATGAATGCCGCTAAATGCAGAAATGATGAGATGATGATGATGAGGATTTGTGGTGAGGATCTGGTTGCTATGGAAGCCAAGTACCACAGAGGTTGTTATCGAAGATATACAGCTGCCGCATCATCATCTAAGTCTACTGGGGGTGGCAAAGGTATCTAGGCTGAGTATGACAGCGTGTTTCTGAAACTTATCGACAAAACTGCATAAAAGCTGGTTAAAGAGGGAAGAGCTTATGACATGGCAATGCTGTCAGGTATGTATAAATGTCACCTTACTGATTCTGGAATGAAGAAAGCCGTGGTTGACACGTATAAAGTTCAAAACTTAAAAAGAAGATTAATTCAACAATACATTGAAAAGATACAATTCCGTCCACAGTATGAGAGAAATAAATCTGAACTGGTTTGCAGTTCAATGCCTTATGCATCCAAAGGTGCGATGAGGACTGATGATGGTTTGCAGTTCTTCACTGAATCTTGTGGAAATCATTAACCTTGTTGCAGAGCTAACTGAAGCGACAAAAGATTCTCGAAATGTCCCGGTAGTGGCCAAGGTGCTGTATCACACAGCCATTATCCTTCGAAGTGAAATGAAGGGTGCCACTGGAATTGAAACACAGCCACTGCACGTACCTGACTAAAATATATAGAAGGCTACAGAAGTTGTACCTGAAAAACTGCCGCAATTTTTAAGATGATTGTTGCAATCTCGGAGAGCATTTGAAGGAGAGGGACTGCCCATTGACGACCACAAAGATTTGAATGAAAGTGTTGTAAAGAAGAATGAGACAAGAAATATTTTAGCTATCGGCCAAGATATTATATCTTGTAACTCTGGGGGCAGGAAGAAAATGCAGAAAAATGTAGGCCTTACACTGGCTATGGAAACCATGGTGCGGGGGAAAGGAAATAATCACTATGTTAAACCAACATGGCCACTTTATAAACTACTGGGAATGTGAACCGATCAACACAAAATGACCAGATATGAGTTTGAATCAATTTGAAGAGGAAGATGGATATTATCAAGCAATTCTTCCTTTGAACATTGCAAGTGGTGCATTTGTGCAAAGTGCTGCAGACAATGAAGACTACTTGCAGGATACCGTTGATGGGAACGAAAGTGTACACGTGATGTGTATGGCTTTTTACTGAGGGGGGCTCACACTAGATCCAAAGAACCTGGTACTCCCTGTGGAGAACATTAGCAAGGTCAGACAAGGAGTCGTAAAATCTGCTGAGACAAAATTGTACGAGCTTGTGTTCACCAGTAAGACACCACCTTTGTCAAACAAGTCAAGGTAAACTTCTTTCAACTGTGTGGATTGGAGAGAGAAGCTACAAGTATTGAATCAAGCCTGGGTGTTTACCAGAAACACCCCAACAAAGCTGGTTATTGTTGAAGTAGGTCAAAAACAAGCCAAGCTGAACGTTCCTGGGTGGACTGGCTTTCATGCTATAGTCACTGTGAACAACTCTCACTCAACCCATGTAGGTTTTCCTCCAATGATACCTGCACCTGTTAAAGAACCAAACAGAGTATACTTCACTTCACTTCACTTAGCTTCTTTGTGCCTCGTGGCACATAAGGCCTCCACAGAATGCCTCCAATTTTCTCTGTTGGCTGCAGCAGCTCTTGCCTCA